TCCTTCCTTCCTTCCTTCCTTCCTTCCTTCCTTGTAGCTTCATGCCCAGTGTGGAGCCCAATGCAGGGCTTGAACTCATGACCCTGAGATTGGAGGCCTAACCAACTGAGACACCCAAGCACCCCAACAATAGAACACTTTTGTCTTTAATTTTGTACTCTCCTGAAACCTTACACAATCTAAAGTAAATTTTTTTTTCAAAAGAGGAAACAATTCTCAAAGAAATGAGGCATAAAAGACAACAATTTCCTAACCCCCAACCCTCCCTCTTAGCAGAATATTAGGAAACTTTTCTCTGGGAAATATGACCAACCCTAGTGAGAATAATCAAAGAAATTATATTTTGATTTCTCTCAATAAATGCCTCAGTTTATTTATGGTCCATTTTTATAATAATTTTCAAGTTGACAAGTATCACCCAAATGATAAGGTTTTTTTTTTAATGTTTATTTATTTTGGGGAGAGAGACAGAGCATGAGCAGGAGAGGGGCAGAGAGAGAAGGAGACATAGAATCTGAAGCAGGCTCCAGGATCTGAGCTGTCAGCACAGAGTCCAATATAGGCCTTGAACTCACAGACCAAACCAGTAGATCATGACCTGAGCTAAAGCTGGACGCTTAACCGACTGAGCCACCCAGGCACCCCCAAATGATAAGTTTTTAAAAATCAGTTTTTTAATCTCTCATTTTAAAATAGAAGCAAACAAAACCAATATTGCACTGTATATTAACTAACTTGAATTTAAGTAAAAATTTGAGAAAAAAATACAAGCAAATAGCCAATAATTATCAAATATCAAGAAAATCCTTAAAGATAAAAAGATAAAGGCCACAACTGGAATAAACAAGATCATGTGCTATAAAGAAAAAGTTAAAAAGAGAAAGAGAGCTCTTATAATTAAATGAATGAAAAGGGTGATGGAGAATTCTTTATATGACTTGGATGACAAAGTTGAGGGCAAATTTCAGAAAGTAGAGAAAAAAAGACAGAGATGAAAAATAGGAGAGGTAATATAGGAAATTTAAAAGACAACTCTTATGTTCAATATTTGAACAACAGTTCTTCCAGAAAAAAAGGAGAAAAGAAAATGTGTGTGGGGGGAGAGAGATCATCCACAAAATCACCAAAGCACAGGTACAGAATGGAAGGACATGCATTTGCAGGTTTAAAGGGCCACCAAACTTCCAACAAGAGCAATGAAAAAAGATCCACAACACAGTACTGACAGTGAAATTGTAGGCTAAAGCTTCTGGGACTGGGCTCCAGACAGGAACATAAAAAAGAATCAGCGATTAGAATGGCTTTGGCCTTCTCAAATGTAATATTGGAGGGTAAAATACAGCAGAGTAATGTCTCCATATTACTAAAAAAAAAAAAATCTCAATATATAATTTTATATTCAGCTAAGTAATCAGTTGTGAGGGTAGAATAGGGACATTTTTAGAAACACAAATTCCCCCCAAATTTACTACTACACAAAATTTTTCAAGAAAGTCTTGGAGAACGTCCTTCACCATAGTGAAGGTTCACTTGGAAAGGGGAAGATGTGGGATGCAGGAAACAGAAAATCCGCCAGAGGTGAGAGGGAAAGGGAATTCCCAGGAAGATAGTGAAGGGACATTCCAGAATGACAACCCAAAGGGTAACCAGTTCAGCTGAAGCATGCCAGAGCCTTCAAGAGGAACTTTAAGTAGATGAAACTGATGGTCTACTTGGTATGAATAAACATATTAAGAGGTGATTAAGAACACCAGAAGAATGTTTGGATTGAATTTCTGGTAAGTCACAGAATACAGAAAACAAGGTAATGATAATTCCAGAGAAAACAAAAAGTTACATAGGAAAGTCACAGTAGTTACAGTTTACTACATGACATGACTCTGAATAACATCAGTCAGAATAACATAACCACTCAATATTGAGCTAACCATATGTGAAAGATGAGGGGATGGAGTGTAGGGAAGAAGCAGGAGGAAAAGGGAATAAGTTCTCTTTATTTTTATCATGGAAAATCTGTAGATTGTATAACAGTCGTGATTCAGTCAGGATAGCAGATTCAGTAGGTGTTGTAGATCGAGTTATTATAGGAATTAGATCTCACAGAATTGTGAACGAAGCTGAGAAAATAAACATCTGGAAGGGGAATTGGAGAATCAGAGGAGTCACAATGTGTCTGAAAAGCCAAGCATCCTAACCACCATAGTGCCACAGCAAAGGGAGAATTTGTGGAGAGGTTTCTGGAAATCTATTGTCTCTACAGCTAGTTGTCTAGTCACAGGCCTGGGGTCTCTAGGTCAGCAGCGCCACCAATCAGGAAGAAGGGCTATATGTAGAAAAGAGTGAATTTCAGGCTGGTACCCACTGTGTACCTCAGCCTCTGTCCATCAGCACATCTACTACACAAAGGCCTTCAGAAATTCTTGACCACTATTTCTGCCCCCACACATCTCAGGTAAATGCCTGTTTTAGCCAGCTCTAACTCCCAAATCATTACATGGCAGGGGATTTGGGAAATACAGTTCCCAAATTAACCCAGGGATAAGTACAAACTACAACAGTCCATCCTCTTGACAATCTAGCATCGCATACACACCTCTGTTAACCACATTTAACTGCCAGATAAAAACAAAAGCAAACTGATACTTCCACAGAACATGGTGTACCTATCGACTCAGAAACATATTGACCTTCTTTCCAAAAGAGAATCCACAAAGTCTCACATGTTCTTTTATTCATCTTGGGGTGATATTCAATCTTTTAGCTGAGTCACACTCACTATGTCATATGTTGTGGTTTAATACTGTGATGTAAGGTTAACTACAATTTACACATCTTACATTAGTAGAGGAATGGGAGAGGACAGAATATTGATATTTGATATTTATATCAAATCAAGGAAGAAATACTTATTATCTGTTTCTGCAACTAGTCATATGATGGTAGCTGGTATTTATAACTTACTTTTTCCCTAGGACTGAAATAGATGGGCAGCCTCATAAAGTCTTACTTGATTGGTATAACAGAAAACCTTTAGGTCTGGCTTACAGAAATGTAACTTGAGTTACCACAATACAGAATCACAGCCTCTTAACCAATCCCAGACTTGAGCCAGTTCACAGCCCTAGAGCTCTTTAAATGAGGAGGAGGTCAGTTCCTGAGCAAGGACCCTCACTTTAAGTCTTTTTCCTGGCCTTCCCCAACAGGACCTTGGGTCATTTACTCAGATGACTGTGTTTTAAGTAAGTAGACATAGCCAGACTTTTGGGGACTAACACTAAATTATTAATATGTAACATGTCAAGAAAGGGGCCTTATGAAGACTGGGTAATTAATGGCATTTTGGCTTGGGTCCATCTCTCAGTGGGACTAGTGGGTCTCCAAATTCACACCATGGTTATTTTCTGTTCTGGAGTGAATAGTTAGAGTAGTCATACTCAGCAACTAGAAGAACCCTCATGTTGGTTCTCTGATCTGTATATATATTTTTTGTATTATTATGTATATAATGTGTGTATTATTATTTTTAAGTTTTCTGTATTGTTTCAAAGTTAAAATGGCTTATAGAGATGCATATAATCCTGCAAAGTAAATACATTAAGTGAGAAAAACACAGCAAAGTGAAAATAAGGCTAGAAACATAAAATGGAGCAAGAAATGAGAAGAGTAGATAAAGTGCCTGCCTATCTTGTATACTTGCTGAGGGTAAGCCACAAATTTGCTCTTGAGCTGTTACACAATTCATTATAATTGTAAGTTAAAGACCAATTGCTTAGCAGAGGCATATCTATTTTGGATACTAATAGTGAAAAAAAGTTCTGGAGAGGGTATTTCCTGCTCTTAGGGATTACCTGTTCTATTATCTCAATTAGCATGGCTAATTGCGTATCAGAGAAAAAGTTCTCTTTATATTTATGAAACTGAGTCTAAGTCTTAAAAGGGCTGAGAATCATTCTGTTTCTCTTGTCATTGACCAAGTGTAGTAACACTTCCTTCCAGCAACCACATTCACAGAGAAAAGAATGGAAATGACACATATTGCTTTAGTTCAAAAGAGTTCAGAGCACACAAGATTAAGTAAAAGGAAATAATTGTAAACCTTCAGGTCAAATCTTGAGATTTCTCTTATGAGCTGGTCTGAGTTGGACTTCCTTTGAAGAGAGCCTCCTGGATCTATTCCATGAGGGTGGAGAGCAAAATGAGAAAAAAAGCCTTATCACATCAGTCTACAGAAGAGTTCTCAAGTGGCAGAACATAGTATTAACATTTGGAGAAGTCAAATATTTACACATTTTTCAAATGTTAAATAAGTGATTATAGTGTGGCTTTTAAAAATAACAAATTAGCCTGGATAAGGACTGGTCAGTAACCTTGTTGAAGATCTTTCATATTAATCAATTTAATTATTTCATACAAAATATAAATGAACATAGGCTATCACATGCAACTAGCAAAATAAACACTCAACTTATATTTAAGAGGAAAACATTATACTCTCAATACTAATACAGTGGCAAAAATGCCATAATTTGTTTTGAGCTAATTAATGAATAAATTCTAGACTGGAAGGGAGAGTACAACATCAACAAATTTCAACAATTAATAAGAAAATCTGGGAAACTTTAAATGTGAGAATATGAATATCTGCTAACATAAAACATAAGATAACTCTAAGGCAATTAGCTAATGAAAATGAGACAGCCAAAGTCAACTAAATCTGTGAATATAAGGGTCAGAAAATTTTAAATCTGCTATAATGTAGCTACATCATAAAATCACTAATGTCTTATGGTTTTTAACACAAAAAATATATAGTAGTAAACTCCCAAATGAAAATTTAAAAAGAATGGCATGGAAAAGAGCTTTTACAAGTATGACACAAACAGAAGTCTATACAAGAGAACACTGAGAAATTTAACTACATAAAAGTATTTTAAAATTTGCAGTACAGTAATTGTATACATTAAAACAAAGTTAAGGGGCACCTGGGTGGCTCAGTCAGTCGAGTGGCTGACTCTTGATTTCCGCTCAGGTCATGATCCCAGGGTCATGTGATTGAGCCCCTCATTGGGTTCCACACTGGAAGTGGTGCCTGCTTGGGATTCTTTCTCTCTCTCTCTCTCTCTTTCTCTCTCCCTCTCTCTCTCTTTCTCCCATGGCCCCTCTCCTCAACTCTCACTCTCTTTCTCTCTAAAATACAAAGAAAAACAAACAAAAAGAGTTAAGAGAAAAATCACAAACTTGAGACAATATTTGCAACAAAAATCAAGATATTATATACGTGTATATATACACATATGTGTATATGTACATATATGTACATATTATATATGTATATATGTACATATATACATATGTATACGTATATATATGTATATACATATATATACACATATTATGTGTGTGAATAGATAGGTAGATAGATAGATTCTACAAAGAAAAAATAAATGACCTAAATGACCAAGAACATAGAAAACAAGGTAAATGAAATCTTTGGATAGTTCATGGAAAAGGAAAATTAAATAGTTTGAGCATATTAAAAACATATAATATTATTTAAAAAAATAAAAATGGAAACTACTGGTACCACTGTTTGCCCAGGAGTGTCAAAGATCAGAACATGTTGGCCAGTATATAAGGAGATGGACACTTTTACACATTGCAATTTGATAGAACCTCTGTGGGAAGTAATTTTAAGAATGCACACATACACACATATCCAACTGTTTGATCCAACTTTTCTACTTTTAGGAATTTATAATGCAACGGTAAAATGAACCATGAAAAGGCTAATGGAAACATTGCTTATAACAGAAAAAGATGAAGACGATCTAAATGTTATTGGTAGGGAGCTGGCTAAATAAAACCATACAATGAAATGATCTGTGATTATATAAAAAGAACAAGAAAGTTTTTTTATGAGCTGATACCAAATGAACTTTAAGACGCGTGAAAAAAAATCGAGGTGCAGATCAGTGAATACAGTATTCTACTAGTTGCATAAAAGGGGGAAGAATATAGTACATATAGTATGTGTACATACACATACACCCATTTTCTTGATAAGCACAATGTATCTCTGGAAGTATACTCAAAATCTGGAGAGTTATACACAAATAACTGGTTGTCTCTGAGGAGGAGAATTGGCTTGCTAAGGGAGAGCCCATTCATGGTATCTTCTTTATTGAGGATTGAATTTTAGCTATATCAATGAATTACAAGTGACAAAAGTAAAGTACACAATTTGCCTTCCATCTATAGTATCATTCCCCTCACTTGACCTTCTCTATCACCAATGAGTGGTATGAAGTCAATCTCACCAGTATGTTTCTCTGTAAACAGACACCAGGCGCATATCTATTTATAAAGCTAGTTTAATGAAACCACCATCTAAACTCAGTTTGAAGAAAAAGTCCATTGAGTCTCCAAGATGGAGAAACTGAGCTGTGAGGCTCAACAACAACACATTCAGAGTTTAGAAATGAAAGAAAGCAGAAATATGGGATTAAAGTTAATGATAGTTTAGGATCTGCTAGGGTTGTATTTTTTAGTAGCAAGAACATTCCTGGGTTCTTGAAATCAGGAAAAATATTCAGTGAATGGCAAAGAAGAAAAAAGTCTGCATTATCAACAGAGTAGCCCCAAAGCGATTAAGTGTGAGACTCTAAGTACCCCCCAAAATAAATGTGACTGATTTTTGAGGTTCAGTGGTATCCTTTAAAAAAGCAGAGACAGACCAATGATGAGTCTGTCGTCATACTGGTTAGACCCTATAAAAACAAACTTCTTGATAGAAATAGAAAATTGTGAACCAGAACATGGCAGAGATGAAAGAGATCTTATTCTATTTCCTAAGAATACTGTCAAGGAAGCTAAGATCAAGCAAATTGCCAAATGTGACCTAGGTGGTTAATGGTGGAGTTAGATCTACTTGGTTTTGTGCTCTATTTGCCCTTAAATATTTTGAAAGATAATGATAACCACGGATCTTGAATGGGTCTCAAAGCTGTATAAAAAGGCAGGGAACTTAGAGAAGTCTTTATTCTCCTATGCATTTAACTTCTTTAGAAGTGCAATAAATTTGGTGTGTGGTATCTATGATGGTGGAGGAATATCTACTGGAATATCAAGCCATCATGCTAGATGCTGGGCCACTCCCTTAGCCTAAATGTTTCCAATTGCTTCCAATTCTGTGATAAAAATCAAAGACTGAAAGCTGAGAAACAGATCCACTGTTCCTGCATGTGTTTTGTCAACTCTATTTGTGCCCTGCGGGCCAGTCTCAGGGGCTGAATTTTCTTATCTAGGAAATGGGACCAGTGACCTCAACTCGGATTTACTTGGATGTTCTCAGGCATGCATAAAGGAAATAACACTGAAGTTCTTAGTGCATAAATGTTGTTATGTAATAGTGATGTCTGTAAAAAAAAAGTTATGGATAGGCAATAATGGAATCGTTAATAAACAGGACTCTTCTAATAGTCTTATTGTTTCTACATGATTGTCTCAAGTTTCTAAATTTCTGAACATCTCCTGAAACTGAAGGCATAGAAAAGGAAATTTAAGCAGTACAAAATTCTAGCATATGGTCATATCTACAAACGTTCATACTGCCGTTGTTAGCGGTAAAAAAAAATCTTATCTTTTGCCTAAGGAGTAAATACATTCATTCCTACAGCAATGAAGGCAGGACCGGAGATTTCATCAGAATGAAATCAGTAGCATCAAGTGTATTCTCCAAACCTAAGGCACTAGATGTTTAAATCAGGAGTCTTTGAGGCTGGAGGGAGAGAGGAGGATTATGACTAAGAAATACTTGAGTGGAAAGTGAACTTTCCTTTAAAGAAACAAGGTCCCAATTTCTTGAGTACTGCAAGCAAAGGACTACAAGTTTTTAAAGTTTTTGTGGAGAAGAAACAAAGTCAAGAAATAACACTTCTGGGGATAAGCGAAAGCTGTTGGAAATATCCCTTTCACTCCGTACACTGAAGGCACGTTTTAATTTCAGCCTGCTAACAGATCGTCCTATAAAACAAAGGAAGACGTAAATTAAAAAGTGGCAGAGATGGGGTAGCTTTCGGGATGCGGCTCAAGTTCAAACTCAGCGGGTCAGAATCAGCAGTCCTGGCCGGTAGCTCAGGAAGGACGGTTTAGGAGAAGCCATCAGTCCGTCAGATGCTCCTGCAGGAAGGTCAGGGCAGAGGTTGGAAACGACCCCCGAGCGCCCGAAAAAGACGCCTTGGGGGTGAACACAGCTAGGCTCCCTGGTGCAGCGAGGTAAGGGGGCGCCCCCATCCTAGCCACTCCTCAGTTTAGCCAAGCACTCCAGGAAAGCCCGGAGGGGATTTGCCTCGGGTTGGGCTCGCTGGAGGCTGTCAGCGCTCTTTAGGACCACAGGGAAACCCGAGAGTTTCTGGCTTTAGGACCCAGGAACTCCGAGGCAGCCTGACACAGATGCCTTGGACCACAGCACCACCTACTTATAGAAGCATCCCGAGCCTCAGCCCGGCTGCATCTCCGTCGGAAAGTGCGCTCGCCACATCCCTTCGGCCTCGCGGGAGCGTTCTGTCTCCCACAGCTTGGAAAGGGAGAAATCCCTGATGTGAAGTGGCTGTGGAGTAGAGCCTAGGAAACCGCCCAGTTGGATAGGGACCCAGAAAGAGAGCGGTCGTGCCGGTCGCCCGAGCGCCGCACTCACCGGCGGGGACGCAGCATCCCCGAGGCTGCGGACGCGCCCGCCCCGCCGCGCTCCCGCTAGCGCCGCCAGCCCAGCGGACCGTGGGCGCACTGCGAGCCCGCGGCGTCCGCCGGAATCCCGGAGCTGCCGGGCGCTCCCGGCGGCTCCCGGCAAACTTTTCCCCAGCCCACGTGCTAGCGAGGCGCCTCGCTTCCCCAGCCCGGGATGGAGCGCCGCGCCTAGGCAAGCCGCACCGTCCGAGACGTAAGTGCCGCGGTAGGCGACCCGCGTCCGGCCACCGCGGCCAAGGCGCTTGCTTACCCCCACCGAGGGACCCAAAGGCCAGCGGGGGCTCTTTAAACCCTGCTCCCGCGGAGCTCTTTCCTTTCCCGGGAGCAGCCTCCCGACGCCCTTTCCCCTGGGTCGGAGCCTGTAGCTCCGCAGACATTGCGAATTCACTGATTGTAAATCACCCTCCCCACCAAATCGCCGGCAG